CTGCATTTATAATTGGTGGATTATGTCTTTCGCGGACGGCAACTTACGTCCAACCACGACAAACTACCTTCAGCTTTAATGAAAAAACTACGGTTTAGAAAAAAAGATCCAGAAAGGAAATAGGCTGATAACTTTCTCAGCAACCAATTACCCCGAGGTTTTTTATCGAACTGAATGAAAACTTTCAGATGGAAAAAAGATCGCAAACTTATAGACTTCCATGAAAAGACTTACCGTTTCTCCCTTGGACTTCGTCGGCATTTTCCACGACTCCTTAATTTTTCAATGTCATTCGATTTAATAGTAAAGTATTTTATTTAGACATGCAAACGGCGCCAACAAAACAGCATGGTAGTAAACGCGACCCGAGACTTTGGAATTTCATTATTTCAATGACAATGATGCAAGCGAAAAAAAAAGAGAAAAGTCCCCCTTATTTAATTCTGCGGTCCTATTCCTAAGTTAATGTCTGCGCAGTAAGAACCATGACCGGAATCCATAAACGTCTGGTATTTATTGTATTAACACAGTTATATGGGTGAGAAAATCCAGCACAATCAAAATGTTTCCAATTTTCTCTCAAGAATACCAAGTGTTTTCATTTAAACTAGTGGATAGACTGGACCAATCTAACCACTAGTTTAAATTAAAACAGCTTTTCCTGATAGAATGGAAGTATGACGGGATTGAAGTAGCGAGAAATAGGAATCTTTGAGTTCGAACAGGTAGAAAAAAAGTCTGGCTAGCAGTTAGTTAATATATAATGCATCATTCAAACCTAACCACTTCTGACTTTTAAGAAGAACATGAAAACCAATGTCGCATTCTATCGACACATGATAGCTACATGGCAGAATGACTGGGTGATCAAGTGAAGTGAAATGCAGTCTTAAAGGAGACTGAATCGACTGCATGACAGCTCTATCTCTACTGCGCCGCATCCAACGGAAAGGCCTGCATAGCTCAGGAGTACGACCAACACCTAACTGACCAGTGGTACCATCACCCTAAACGGCATGACAAGTCCGTAGCACAACGTTATCCAATCGATAGACTACTTAAACAATCAAACCGCTGCAATAAAATTTTCCACCCTCTCTCTTCTCTCGTTCTCAATGAAATTTCTCCAGTCTTCTCTCCTCCTCTCTTTCAATCTTTCTTCTGATTCTGCCAAAATTCACGAGTAACGTTGCGTGGTTTACGCTAGATCGATGGGTATTACGGATAAGTTAACGAACTGTAGGTTTCTCTTTTCTGTTTTTCACTCTGTATTATAAGGAGGAACTAATAAATACAGTTCGAGTCTAATTGGCCAATTACACTATGCTGTAATTTTATAATTTAAAATTTAAACTTAAAAGATTTGAGTGAAATTTTTGCAAAGTTACATTATTATTCAAACTTTAAGTGAAGATTGCGCCAAGTTTGGATAGAATGATTGATAGAATTACGTCCTACGACGATATCTTCTATCGGTTAGAGCAACGTGACACACCGGATTTAACGACACAAGAAAAAAGGTTGTTGACCAAAGAATACCTTTTTGTTCGAAGTTTTAAAACTTGGTATTTGATCATTGTAAGTGTAACGTGTAAAGAGGTATATATTTTACACTAAAATTTATGCAATATTTAAAAAAATGAAATTGAATGGGAGGTAAATTGGCATGTAACAAGGTAACGTACACGGAGTTTGTAATTTGGTCTTACGCTGCAACAGCAGTTATCGCTTACTTTCATTATTCGACATAAATAATGGAAAGATTTGCAGGGAATTGCTGGAAAATTTATATGTGAAAAATCCACACTTGTTTATGAGACGTTATCACAGATATTTGACAGTAGAAGATTGCGACTGTTTTGATCAAGATGATTATGAAATTCAGTTTTATGCAAAAGCAGTGATAGAAAGATGTAGAGATACGGACACGAAAAAGCGGAAGGTATTTTCATTTCAACTTTGGACTTTCAGTAGAAGTGATAATGTTGTCACTACTGTGAATCTCTTTGCGTTGCGTCCAAAACCAAAAGATAATACGATGCTTACTTTGTTCTGCTTCTCTGTGCTTTACAACTTTATAGGATGTAAGACTTCGAAATCAACGCTATGCAGAATTACTGCGGTTAAAAAGAGAAACGGATTATTTTTCGGATAAGAAAATGCGAGAGCGAGAACCGTTGTTGTTTGACAAAATGATTGGCAGATTTTTACCAGAAGAAGAGCAAATCCATCTCAGACCAACTATTGAAAATGAGTCTCTTTCTGGTGTTTTAATGCAATTCGAAGATTCTCAAATCATTTCAAATCGACGAACGGCTCATCTAAATGAATGGAATGACTTTTTAAAGGTAATGAACCTTAGTTTTCATCACTTTTTTTCGTTTCTATCAGTTTTTTTAACCCAGTTTCTAATAAATTCGGTTTTACTTAGTAAATTAGTCTGCTCACATGACGATTTGATGGAGAAAAAATTCCAACAAATCCAGAATGAACTGGTAGGGAGTGATTGTTAGGCTAAATGACTGGAAAGAACAACTAGCAGTGATTAACGAAAACCGAAAAGAATAAAATATAATCCAAATTCGTTAATGAGAGAGAAAGATACTGATTGGAAAAAAGGGTGCAAGAATAAGTTTTCTTTTACTTTTGATCAATTACAATAGAAGGTTGGAAATCAATTGTTTAATTACAGTAGAGGGTTAGAAAATATTTGTGTGATCAATAAAAAACTGCAAAATCAGTACACGACCTTTTCCGAATATATCTATAATTTTTGTATCTATAATTTTTGATCTATAATTTATCTATAATTTTTGTAGTATGATAGGGAGAATATGTCGAAGTTTGGTGACTTAGTACAACATGCAAGGAGCCGGTTTTGTGAAGAGATGGAAAGTGGTAACGACGAAATGAAGTCTGAAGACGGCTATGAAGTTATTAATGATGATTCTAAACCAACTTCCAGTCATAAAATGGAAGAGGAAATGGCTTCAGAATCTTCAGATGAAAACCATGATAAGGAAGAGCTGAGAGCAGACTTCATCGATCATATGGAGCAACGGTTCTTAAGAGGTTTTTTTTTTTACGACGATTTGGTTTCAAAAGCAATTTATCTGTAAGTCAGTGTGACTTCCAAACTTTGTTTAATAGGTTTCAAGTGTTCATTATAATTTTACGCTTACAATAATATAATTTTACGCTTATAATTTTTACGTGACTTCGAAGTTGCAATTTTAATCTTAGCCAAACTGAAAAGTTATTCGCAACGAAATTACAGGTGATGATACGGAATTTTACGACTACTCTATTATCGATAACGTGATGACAAAGGAGTACGAACAGATGCACGATCGAGATTTAGAGGATGCATACTTCGAAAATGATTAATCGCTTATGGAATTCTTCAAAATCTTCATTCAACGATTATACTGTTATACTAATACGTATGTTGCTCTGAATAACTAATTGAGAAATAGTGAGTTATAGAAATTGTTTTTTCAATGTGATTACAACAAGATTATTCTAAACTTTAATTTCTCCCTTGTTACGATTGTAAATAATAAAGATCCTGCTTGGGGGAATTGTCATATGTTTCAATGAATTGAATATAAATTATTTGACAGAGCCAACAGTGCTAGTACCGAATACAATTGCTAACGGGATTTGGCTGATTATCGATCCAAGCACATAGCACAATTGAGCTTCTCCGACCCCATATAATTTGTTTTTCATTGTGTACAATACGACCTATAGATTCATTATTACATGTATGAGCGTAATTGATAAAGAACACTGTCTTTTCCATGACCGCAGAACTGTTCGCATAACTGAAGATTCGGTCTGGCACTGCCTTATGTGTAAATCTTAAATTGGTGAGGCGAATATTTCCTTTATATGAACTTCTACTATATCTTCTGTTCCCATTATTTATTTTTACGTAAAGTGCTGTTTAAACATTACGGCTTAATTGATTTTCCTGGAAGTTATGAGCCAATACTTGGATAAATATACCTGGAAATGATAGGCGAGGAATGCAGCTTGTGTAGCAATTGACAGGATAATGCAGAGCGACAGGCCGTGGATCATGCCAAGAAAAGTAGCTGCGGCGACACCTGCACCCATTCCTGCGGCTAATAAGTTTTTCCGTTGCGAATATACGGTTGATGGGGAAAGTTCTGGATCCACCTGTCAAGAATTCGTAACTTCCTATTGAAATCTTATTTGTAATAATTCACATTCATCTGTAGTTATGCGCGTTATCGGATAATTTCGAAAAATCAGAAGAATCAAAATTTATATTACAGATGGGGTTTTTTTTTTCAGATATACCATTAGAGCTAGAATGAGTGGTTGGATGAAATTGACTGATGGAAGAGTTGAAATCAGTCGATATCCCATCATGTGCCCTATACACGAGCCGATCGCGAGGCCTAGGCCGAATAAGTTGACACGCCTTTCAGTTTCGTCCAGTGCTGAGGATAAAACTCTCGTTATCATGGCACTCTTTATTTGGTGGGATCAGCTAAACATGTCAAGCTTAACTTTTTCTTATCATTTAACGCAATCTATTCATTATTTGAACCTAATTTAGATATTTTCATCTCATTCTTAAAGCTGGATTCAATTATTTGTTTAATTATTGATCTTTTTAAGATAAGATTAAAAAGATAAGTAATTAAACAAATAATCTTTTTAAGACGAATAATTTTTTAAATTTTTTCTTTTAAGATTACGTTTTTAAGATGAATAATTAAATAAATTTTTTTTTCGAAGTTTTTACTTTTCTTTATTCCGAAATTTTTTCGTATTTCTTTTTTCTTTATTTCTTTTTATTCCGAAATTCGAAAGTTTGAGTTTCGGAAAGTTACCTGCATTTTTTCTAAATGTAAGGTAAACATGACATGGTAACAGGACTACCAGCAATAGTTCCCACCACCAATCAAAAATTTTTCGATAGAGCATTCCTAGCACAAGCGCACCGGAAATTTCTCCTGGAATAGTGATGTACGACAAATTTAGATATTCTGATTAGGTAAAAGTCTTGTTAGTACATCTTATCTCCAGAATATTTAGTATTTCACCAAATACCTGCACTGATTCCAATTGAAAGGACAGAGCAGCTCAAGTACAATTCCAACAAATTGTTGCGGAATTCTCTATCGTTTGCATCCAATGGGCTCAAGTCTTGTACTGCAGTTTGTACCTGCAAAAACCTTTGTGATTAGTAAATTTTCTGTAAAGAGCTTTGAAAATCCTTTTGTGAAGTAGTAAACTTTCTTAAAGGTCAACTCAAGGTACTTCGAAAATTCTTGTAGAGTTTGTATATTTAAATCAAGTGCTAACATTTAGTGCAATATTTCATCTCAAAGTAGTTCTGTAAAAGTATTGAAATTTAAATCTTAGTTTTATAGGAGATAGCTTTATTGTAACAAACTGCTCATTCATGCTATTTAGAAGAAAAAACAGAAAAATCTTTAAACAAACGTGTTCGGAAATGTCATAAATAATCGGTTCAGCATATTCGCGTAGCTTCTCTGCAGCTCGCATTGTTCTGTGTCCCAAACTTATTGTCCCATCGTAAATCTGGAAATGTTATTAAGTTCAGGTTTTAATTTTCTATGATATTTGAAAATTGGATCTCTGGCATTTACGACTACAGTTCTGCAGCTGCACGCGAACTAAATATCCATGAACGGTGTGTACAGGTAAATGTGCAGCTAACTTCAAACAGTTTGTCTCATAAATATACTCCTGTTAGACTGTAAACTGTCAGTGATGGAAGAAGTTAGATGTACGAATCTAAAACGTGATTTATTCAAAGAAAGGGGTAGAAACCGCAAGGCATCGACGTCGCATTGTTTCAACAGTAGTTTCAACTTGTTCACCATAGCGATATGCCACCTCCATTCCTACCGAACAGTAAATAGTTTTAGTAGATTCATTTTAATCTTCTTTAGGCAGTAATTTAAATATATTTGAACGTAACTCACGTCACTTTAACTAACGTGAATTTCATCTATCTCGCAAAAGTTAATTTTGAATTGCAATGCTCGATTAAGCAGCAGCTTTCGGACTAAGTTGGGAGCAATTTCAAGCTGTTACGATCCCACCTCAATCACAAAGTAGGTTGAGCTACCCTCTTTGAGTGTAGACGAACCTTCCAAGAATGCACTGGACAATGAAATGTACCTCTCAATGTTTTCGCCTTTTATTACGCCTCGAGGAGAGAATGAAGTACATATGCAAATGTCGGCCTGGAATTTTTGCATAACAAATTGATACCAAATTAAAACCCAACACCCAAACTTTATTGACAATTCCGTCCTTAAAATAAGCATAATAAAACTGTCATTGGCTCAAAGAACCACAATTCTGCTCGGCACCTATTTGTTTGAATGTCAAAACTTTTAAGAGATATATTCAGGGGACGTATGACAGTTTCACGTGTCATTCTCACAGTTCTCTAAAATTTTAAGCTGGACTTTGATGACTGTTCAATTCCTGTTCTAAAGTGCAGGAAGGAATGAATTATAGGCGAAATGCTACCACTACTGCCATCCTTGCAGATGTATGCACCTTTAAACGGTGCAGTTTAGAGAAAGAGCCGCCTGTTCTGTCTCCTGAATTGATTTTCTTCCTTCCTCCTACAATGACGATAAACCAATCGTTCTCTGTTCTTATTGTGTACGCGCGCTTTCTTTTAAGCGGTTTTTTTGACAGATTGAAATACGGCAACGATAATAATGATTGTTATTAATCATGATAATACTTATAGTAATAATAATCATAGTAGTGATAATAATGATAATAGTAATAGTAACGATGATAATAACAGGTAGGTGGTAAATTCTATGTTTACTGCAAAGAAATGTTTTCCAGTTGAGATTGCGTCAAAGGCTTGTTTGTCTATGAATTAAATAAATGGGTAGCAATAGCCTAAGTAAAATATAATGGTTTAGGGAGGGGCTTAGGCTAAAGAGGTTAGATTAATAAAGTACTCCATGATGTTTATTTATATACTTTTAACACTTGCTAGATCAGTATCCTATAAGTTATGGCTTCAAGGATTCTACCCATACGAAGGAAGGCAATATCATAGAAGTATTATGTGGGTATCCTACTTGATTTCACCTTACCTTGTATAAATTCTTTCCAAAGAAAGGTCATTTAAGAATAAGGACAATCCTTCAATTAACTATTTATAGTTTGTTTACGTTCCATCAAGTCGTTTCTTCGCTTTCAATTGATGATTCTTGACCGTAGCGAATCTTTCAAATGATTCACAGAGTAGAGGTCATTCATTTCTCGTTTAAATCTCACTGTTGATATGTCTATATTTCGTTTATTACTTCGCGCATGCATTAATTTCAATGTGTGATATTTTGTGTTATTTACGTTCGTGCATATGGTCCAAATTCCATACCTGAGAATTCCTACAGGAATACATTGACTGTTTTGATCTTTGGCGGAAGCAGTGAATCCTAAAAAGAAAAGCGCAACATAATATTGGTAGGATTTTTTCGAAATAGGATTTGTTTCGTGGGACCGCTGGTCAAAAGGGCAATGTCAGGCGCCGGCGATATGATTAACGAGCGGTTATTGCTAAAGGAGCTGAAGAGCGCGGGAGTGTTCAAGTTGGGCAACTTTACTTTGCAAAGTGGTCAAATTTCGCCGATCTACGTGGATCTACGTGTGCTCTTTACGTTACCCAAAGTGCTTGTGAGTTTTTCTTTAACTTTCTTTGCTTTCATAAATTAATATTATCATGCTGTGATAGAGCCTTACTCCCAGTCTTCTAGCAGACGTCATCTCATCAATCCGTGAAGCGAAGTTAATATACAACATTAAAATGTTTTCGATTATAAAATCTGTTTCTGATACTTTATTCACCATTAGATATTATTAAGCATTGGGGAAATCTCTTCATTTATCCAAGGTGATTATCATGTCAAATTGCTTGCTTTACGTCCCGGGATAAGACAGGTTTATGGGTCAAATGCAAAGTTATACGTTAACGAGTATTTCTAAGTCAAGTTAGATGAACAGCTACAAACCGAATCAATTTGAACATTGAATTTCGACAGTATTGTTCGAGGTGAGACATCCAGTTCTTTGAAGTTTAGAAGATCAAGATACTGTAAATCATCAGTAATGGAATTGCTTGAATTCTAGAGCTTGACAGCGAATTGTATGTGCACTATGATGGAAGCGAAGAATTTAAAGTATGATTATATCGTTGGCGTGCCATATGCAGCATTACCACTTTCGACGGTATGACTTCATTTGGAAAAAACATCTTTTACCATTTTTTATCAAGCTCATAGGAATATAACGACTATTAATGTGGTAATAAATTTCTTTTACTTTAATAATTCATTGATTTTACAGTATTTTGTTTTCACCAGATTATTGCTGATCGATTAGAAAAACCAATGTTGTTACGGCGTAAGGAAGTAAAATCATATGGAACGAGGAAAATTATAGAGGGCAAATATGAAGCTGGGAAACGAGCTCTGGTCATTGAAGATGTTGTCACTTCAGGTCGTGTTTCTTGTCCATTTTCTCAAAAAATTCGAAGCGAATAGTACTGGTAATCATTAGTTGCCTTCGACTAACTTTAGCATAATATGAAGTAGTGAAGAGTGTTTTTCGAACTGTATGCGTATATCTTATTTATTTCAGGTAAAAGTATTTTGGAAACGGTTCTTGCATTACGCAGCGAAGGTCTGATCTGTGAGGATGCCATATGTGTGTTGGATCGAGAACAGGGTGGTCCACAAAATGTCCAGGATGAAGGGCTTACTCTGTACAGGTCAATTTTTTTGTCGTTTGGAATTTTAAAGAGCCCAGTTATTTTGACACATGGCTATTTTTGTTCAGCTCACCTCGCAGTATGGTGATTAGAGTTGGAGATGATTTAAATTTTAACATCCACTCGGCGGAAATCTGTGACTCATTTAATTTCATCTTTTTCTTCATATGACCGATTGTAATGTTTTTATTATGTAACATTCAGAATTGATTTTCTAAATTGCAGTTTACTGGGAATGAACAAAGTGCTTGATTTCCTGATCGATATCGGCATCATTACTGCAAAAAGGAAGGAAGACATACTGTATCAGTTAACACTTCCCCCACCCACTGAAAAAATACATAACCATGATTGGTCATTAACATCACGGGAAAATTCCACACCAAATGCTTTAAATAAAAGGCTGTTAGAAATAATGAATAAGGTTGGTATTTGTTTTTATTAAATTCGTTCATTTAAATTTTCAATTTTAACAAACAATATGGAATGTTCTCTTCCTACTTGTTTGAGACATAATTGATATTTCTAAAAGCATATGGTTTTTTGCCTTATTACCAGTAAAAGGTTGACGTTTAATTCCGAAATACTTTGGAATAAACAAACCTACGCCACATAAATTGATTTGATACTTTAACACCCATCAATATCCAGGAATTTGAAGACTTTATATTTCACTTTTGCTCATAATAGTAGTGAAGAAGACTATCGTTCTGTTTGCCAACTTTCATATTTTCAAAAATACATGTTTTTGAAAGTGGTTTTTTATTTCCAGAAGAAAACATGTTTGTGTATAGCAATTGACATCACTAAATGTGAGGACATCATACAAATTGTTGAAAAGACTGCTGGTTATATCTGCGCCGTAAAGCTACATGCTGATGTGATTGAAGATTTCAGTGATGCTTTTGTGCGCAAACTTACTTCATTGGCTAATAATCTTGATTTCATCATTTTTGAAGACAGGTTTGATAATGTTCTTAACTTTTATAATGAAATTATTAAAACTTAATAAGTATATGATAAGCTCATTAAGTGAAATGAAAATGTTTTGTTTCACTATTGGCATCATAAATATTGCAGCGTAGTACTATGAAGCTTTTTTTAATGAATTTTTTTTTATCAAGTATTTTTTAATGTATAACCGGCAGTCTTTACTACAGTATTTATGATTATTTAAAGTTTCAAGATGTCTGTTTGATATCAAATATCATAGGGTACATTTAACTAATCAAACTTTCTTGTTTTTTAGAAAGTTAGCTGACACTGGCTACACGACAAATTTACAACTTACGAAAGGACCGTTCAAAATAGCATCCTGGGCACAAATTGTCTCTGTCCATGCTCTTTCTGGACAACCCGTTTTGAATGTCATAAGAAAGGTCTGTATTTATTGTATTTTACTCAAAAGCAATACTTATGTGATTTTTTTGAAGACCTGAACATTTCAAACTTCAGATTTGAAAAAAGTTTTGTTTCTTTTACCTAAGCTAGCTTAAATTTGTTTTCCATACTAGTATTAAATTCGGAGACAACCATATACATTCTTTTTATCTCCCTACTGGCTCTTCATGATAGATATGAGTAGTTTCACATTAAAATTTTGACATTTTAGTATGTGCGTACTTAATATATGTTTCTCTCATTCAAAATACAGTTATCAAACTGTGGTTACTTGTTGAGATTCCAAGTATAATAGATTAGATGAACTTAATATATGTTTCTGTGTAAGGAAGAGACCCAGTAGTATGAACTTTTCTTCAGATTGTTGATCAGCCCAAAGCAAAACTTACTGGTTGTTTGTTGGTTGTGGAAATGAGTTCTGGAGCCTTCATTAATTCGAAACAATACTTGGACGGTAAGGGATGAATTAATAACTCTAATTGCGAAATTTAAGTTGTCAAAGTCATTCTCTTCAGTTCTCGTCTCAGCGAAATATGTCTACTTATTTTCTTATGTGTTTGGAGCACTATAAAATTCGACAATGCTTTCTGATAAAATGAATTACTTGAGACTTCATAAAGGAGGAAAACAATCTATAATGAATCAAAAGATGATACATTTAAAACGATGTAGCTTTATTATAAATGCGGAAAATTCCTACTTGTTTTTAATTGATATTAAGTTTCAGTTTCAATTGAAGTGAGTTTTAAAATTCCAGTTCACATCAAAATGTGAACAGCTTCTGGTTTTACTTGTTTTCAGATGCACTAGAGTTGGCAAAGAGTAATCGTGATATCGTAAGCGGGTTCATTTGTCAGAAACGTTGCACGAATATACCAGGTTTTCTCTACTGGACTTCAGGTAGTGAATAATGAACAACTGTTTTTATTATAGCCACTTTTAGCATAGGTTCAATAATACCAGTTTGTGTGATCCTCGATTTACTAACCATTTATCAAATGAATTTGTTCAAATTGTTCCCGAATATGTAAGGAAAAACCACACGAATAAAGGAAAAGATTTTGGCTTTTAGTTAAAAAAATTTTTTTCCCAACGTTTATTGGTAGAAGTCGTGGCTCGTTGGATAAAATGAGTGTTGTTACAGGAGTTCATATGGATGCAATGAGCGATGGAATTGGTCAAAACTGGCGTACAATCGAGAATGCAATAGGCGTAGATGGAAACGATATAGTGGTAGTGGGACGAGCAATTACTGGTGCAGCTGATATCAATACTCAGATCCGGCGGTATCGTGATGCTACATGGGAATCATATATTAACAGGCAGCAAAACCATTAAAGAAAATTTCGTTAATGCTTTTCACTATTCCCTAACTCATCAGATAGGAATATAATCATTCTGTCTGAGAAAAGCAAAGACAGGTATTAAAGAGAATAGAAAATGGGGAGGGTATTTCTAATTACGAGGCAAGTGTTAAAAAATCTAAATAGTTTTGTTAATTTGATCTGGTTATGAAGCAGCTGATTATTGTGGCATGTTATGACCATTCTAATCTTTCATTTCATGTGAAAGTTGTTTATTGCTGACTAAATTTAGCATTTCTTGAACACCGAAATTGAATTCGGAATTGAAATCACTGCATAACTTTTAAATGAATTGTTAGCGTTATTTTACACATTACATATTTCCCTTTTCCTATTCATTTTTGCAATATACCTTCTGTTTGGTTACATCAATTGTTCATTTTTTGGAAATCTACTTTATAAACCTGACAGAGCATTTCATAAAGATTCGGAATGTTGTAATGACACTTTTGTTTTACTTCCTGCATTATGTAGTGGGACAGTTACAGGTAATTCAAATTTCTTGTCCTTTGATAAGATTTGAATGTTTTTCTGTAACTATTAATATTTAAATGAATGAATTGCGGTGCAGATTCGTAATTACGAAGCAAAGCTGTTAAATATTCCAAATTGACAGAGTAAAACTGTGCTTAGTGAGGATGCGGTAATTAAGTATGTAATGTGCCGCCGATTTTCTTCAGTCGTGACAAAAACTGAATGTTCTTTCTGCCTCTTTAGTTGATAGTACCTCAAACTTGGGTAATTAAACCTTTTGTTACGATAAATTTATTAATACAACAACGAACTTGCAAATATAACATTGATACAACAAATCAATAACGAATATACAAGAACAAAAAAGACAAATCACGCTTGATTCCTTATATCCAATCGACCTCAATGAAACACATTTGAATAAAGGGATTAGTGATCAGGACCCTCCCCTTCTTCAACTGGGAGGGTCCTTGTACCGTTTTATGACCACCCATTGGTGTTGGGTTCTTAGAGCAAATGTAAGACGATATGAGCATATAAAACAAAGATGTCTGGCTTTCAAATGAAAGGGGGATTATTGTCCCTTTGTTTCTACTCACGATTATCAGCGTCATAATGAATGCACATCTTAGGGGGGATTCAGCAGCGTTGTAATGACGTTAAATTGTTGCTTGGCATGGATGCATGCATTTTGTTCAGATTTGAGAACAAACCGATGATTTCGGTACATACAATACCGAAATGTAGTAAATATGTTAATACCTGGTTGGATTGATTGGTCATTTTTTCCTCAATAGTTTAGTGCAAGTGTGGGTGTAGTTTGAAGTTGGCCTTCAACTCCGTGGTTATTTACCGCGTACTTTTTAATGAATTTGTTTTCGTAATCAGTTTTACCTCATAGTACTCTTTGGCGTATGTATTCATGTTAATGGAAAAAGATTAAAAAGAAACGTGAAAATGAAGGCACTGTTTAAATCTATATTTCAGTAAGTCCTCCAGATGGGGAATGAAACAGTTCTCGTATTTCTCTCTGATGAATGAGATCACAGTGTGAATATTTGAACCAATATCAATGAACATGAATTGTCAAATAAAAGACTCAAGATTCTAACAGAAATCATTGTTAACAGTAGAGGTCATTGCTGTATCGGTCGTTTTCTGTGTTGTTCATTGGACTGATGAAAAGTGGATGTGTAAGGAGTAATGAATATTGCCGTAGGTGTTATTGAAGAAACTTCAGATCAAGAGCTGATAAGCACAACGGGAACTGTTATCAGTGATGAGCTACCTTCTAGTCTTTCTGACAGCTTGGTGAATTCCAATTACAGTTTTGAAAATTAAGTTCATTTCAAAATCGATTTGCTACTCATTGGCAAGGAAATTAGAAAAAAATTTGTGAAGAAGGTAAAGCAGTTAGAAAGAAAAAAAATTTATAGTCAATTAATTATTGTCGGTAAAATGATGCGACACTTTTCCAAAGAAGAATATGAAAAAAGTTAAGTTGAGAAGTACGCACATACGACATCAATCAGCGCCATCATCTATAATTGGATTCGATCACTTACGTTGTAAAAACGTTTTATTGCAAGAAATGTTTTTGCAGAGACATGAGTACAAAGAGCCACTAAAACAATCGCCTGCAATGTTGCATACACTGGACTTCTCAAATGCACGTTATCTAGAACCCTAACAATTTTTTATTTAATTGATTTAGCCAATGTGAAAAGAAATTGTGTGTCACTTACCTTCTTACGAAAAAAAAAAATAATTTCTTTGGTGGAGGAAACTAAGTAAGTCTCCATATGTACACTATTGTACTTTAATGAGAAACTAACGGAATATTGATAAAGACCGTTAAATTTTAAGAATTTTGAAGAAAATAATGATAAAGGTGAGAAATGCGTGCAACATATGGAATCACAACCAAAGAATCATCTTGAGCTCCACGACATAAAATCGGAAAGGATTCAGCAAGCACGAAAAAAGCATGGCTGTTGTTGCTGCCAATTTTGCATGTTAATTCTGAAGGTTCGGTTCATCATTCTTCCAAAATTATTCACTATTTGACCTTTAACTTAAGGTCTTAATTTGAATTAAATTGTTTTCATTTACAGTGTACTGGTATATTGTGTTATGTGTTTTGTTGTCCACCAGTACCAGAAATGATTATTCGAAAATTAGCATTTCATCCGCTAAGGAAAGGAAAAACATATCTAGTATGCGGAACAGATGCGCACGGCAATCTTGTGCGAACCAATAATGCTAAAAAGGTAATTTACAATTGGAAGTACTGAAAATTGCTCAAAAAAGAAAAAATGTATGCAAAATTAAAGCAATCTTGGTGACAGAATATCAATATTAATGCATTTTTTCCGGAAGAAATTTTCAAAAGTTTTTTAGTTAAAACTTGAAATTTTTTCCAGGCGTCTAAATTTCTAGCGCTGAAGTTCGAAGTACAACATCTCATTGAAGGACCACCGATTTCAATGGAAGGTGTTGAGATATCAATAATTAAAACAAGGCGGGGCTCATATCTACCAATTTTGAGGATCAGTAACAATTTTGCAACTGATGAATCGAAAGATATGGTAGGATAAACCATATCGGCAGATTTTAAAATTTCTGAATCCTATTGGTCTGAGTGACTTCTGGAAATATATAGAGATACCGCCAGAATAGAAAATAAAGAAAATTAACAGAAAAATTTTTCTCTACAAGATTTACAGTGCTTCTTTCTCTTTTTAGTTTACTCCCTTTCAAAGTATTCAGAGTAAAGATTAGATCAGTGATTGATTTCTTTCCTTCATGTCAATTTAATAACTATACTCTTCTATTCAACTGATTCGAAATTTCATCTTCCCTTCAATCACGAATCATTTCCAATGAATTTTTTGGTAAAGTTCATTTTAAGTTGCGAGATTTTCACGTCTTTTTCAAGCATAAATCTTTCAGGTTATATTATTTTCGCAACCAAACAGCTCTGATTTGGGATCTTATTTTCAACCATATGGATTAAATTTCAAGTAAAAATCCATTAATTGAAAGTTAAGACAGCAATTATGTCCATGACATTGAGTTGGCAATATAGAAACTTGTCGAAATACGTTTGTCCAATCACAATAGAAAAATTTAATCTTTAGCTGATTTGTCTCATCTCCTGCCCTATAATGTCGTAACAATATGAAATGTAGTAGACGTGATGATGGATTTGCAATTTCGGCTAAGAATTTGTAAATCCGCCCTAAGGATTTGCTAAACCTATGGCCTAAGTAGCAATTAAAATAAAATGACTAATAAAATGGCTGTCATCATTAAATACCATCTCCATGCGATCGTTCAGTCATGTAAAGCATGCAGGTACTTCACGCTCAATGATATTTCAGACCTGAAGGAATTAAACGACTTTTGAATCATCATATTTTCAGGGATATTTCTCAGCTGTTGAAAACTGACTTTTATGCTTATGATTATTCCGGATACGGTATTAGCACTGGTACCTCATCGGAAAAAATATTTATGCTGATATTGAAACTGCTTATAAACATATTTCTGAATCGCAAGGACCACATGTTCGAGTAAACTCTGAATTTGCAACTTTCGCTAAAGAGTGACTTCATGGAAAATTTCGTTATCACTTTCTTATCTTAATCCACCCTTCACCAATAGTACTAACACGTGGTGGAGATCATTAAGATTCAATGAAAATTACGAAGTATAAACTGATAATATTATCACCACCAGTCAATTAAATCAGTAGTAGATAATAGGCATAGCGTTAATGAGAGTAAAAGTGGATAAGGAGAGTTGACAAGGTAATTGAGAGTAAATTTATTTTTAAGGCTTCTAATATGTTAGTTTAAAATCTAGAAAGTGTAGATGAATCAATAAACTGGTTTCGAATAATTACCAAAATAAACTGTAGTCAATGGGGTAATCAACTAAGTAGCTTCCAGATTGCCTTACTTGGTTACAGTATTGGTACAGTACCAACAATTTACATGGCTTCCAAACATCCTCCGAATCTTTGTGGAATAGTACTTCTTGCTCCACTTGCATCCGGCCTAAGACTGTACGCAGAAGCTAATCGAACATGTTGCATGGATCGATTTTTAAAGTATGTTTTTTTGATAAGCTGAAAATTTCAAATTGGAACTATTAATTTGTATTAAAATTCTAAAGGAAGTTTTAGGTTTACGTAAGTCAGCGACCGGCACAAATAGATTGAAAGATTTTTTGATAATGCTCGAACCCAATTTCATTTCGAAAGTTTCCACAAAATCATATTAACTGAATTTGATTCCGAATATTGATTTCAAATTATTTTAAAAATGTTGAATTTATTACCATGTTTCTTGACATATTTATTATCAACTCACTTTTGTTTTATTATTTCAAGTTACGACAGAGCTCCGGAAGTCAATGTTCCCGTATTAGCTTGTCACGGTTGTATGGATAATGTCATTCCAAAAAAACATAGTGAAGTACTGGTAGAACGATTCCCGCGTGCTGTGACACCCTTTTACGTGGAACAGGCCAATCACTTGACCATATTTTCCAGACAGAATCTTTCTGTATTCTTTAGAATCCGTTACTTCCTGTCTCACGAAACTGACCCATTGCAAGCTGAAGTTGTCTGATTAATTATTGGACGGAATTAATCCATCCAGCAATGTTTGCATTCAAATTTTGTTAATTTTTGCTCAAGCTTACCGGTATTTTACCATTCCATGATGGGTCATGTGATAATTGTAATTAAAATTATAGATTGGATCCTTTTTCATTTTTCCTCATCCTGAATACTTACTGTTTTCATCTATAATGTGATGATTTGAATGTCCAACGAAGAAAAGAATATTGATTAAAAATATGCAAACATGTCGAGATGTATTTTAAAATAAACCACAATCATATGAAATTTATAAGATGCGTTTACATTTGCATCTTTTTATGACAAGGTCAGTGATAAATGGAAGAATGATGAGAAGTTTTTGACCTTGAACCAATATCGAATGAACCTCTAAAAGCAAACAGCTGACACCTTTATAACCAGTCATCAGTAGACCTTGTCCAACTACATTCAGTACCGATTTCAACACCGAATAATTCAAAATCAGTTATTGCTCTAAGTAAGTTAAAGATGGTTTCACTTTTTTTTTTTTGCTTTGAATATGTTTTCAAAACATATGCGCTGAATTGAAGAGAAATGATAGAGAGTGATTTGTTTCTGAGTATAAGTGCTTTTAGATGATATAAATGTTTACGTAATCAGAAAATCGTTATGATTTGCTTCAATTTTTTGAAATTTCAGTTTGCACAAAAAACATTTACGCAAACGAACTTTGAAACATTGAAAATTTCATTTGTGCCAATAGATACCTTTCTGACTTATTTTCCATAAAAAGGCAAATACTTCTTTCGAGGATAAGTGCATTTTCAATTTCCCAGTATGTGTGCAAATCAACTTTCTCCCTCCCTCCGTCCATCTCCGATAATCTTTGCACATTTTCAAATATTTGCAAATGTTATACTCTGAAACTTCAGATGTATACGAGAAAGGTGTTAATTATTACTATCATCAAATTAGCAACACTTATTTGTGGACAAGTTTGGCCACCGTACGATACATATGATCCCTTTTATTATTCACATCCATATCAAGGTTTTTTTTCTTTTTGTTTAATTTCTTTATACCAAATTAACTTATTTGCTCATTTTTTTTAACTTAAGGTATAAATTTCCAAATTTTACAGACATCTCATTGGCACTGTTTATATTAAACTACTTTCGAAAAAAAAAAAACATTTTTTTGAGAGTTCATAGTCAGAGGAACTTTTTTCGAAATTCTTCAACTTATAATAAAATTATTCTCACAACTTTGTGAATAAATTAATTAAATATAAATCGAAATAAAAATATATGTTATGAGTGATTTTATTCTCGATATATGTATTTGAACAAGTATCCAAGTATTAGGAATTAAGATTTTTTAGCCGTAATCTTATAATTTTTGATGGTAGGATTAGAATATGGTGGAGGATGTACGAACATTATAATGACTAAAATACCATGTCAACAGCTCGTTGGACAGTGGAATATGTATCCGAACTATCAATCGCAAAACTACAATGCCAGATCATACCGCGGTACTGCGATTTCATTTGCAGTTTCTTGCTGAATTTCAAAAAAAGAAAGTGAATTGTTCAAATTTACTCAGATGTTCCTGAGAAATTTCTAAGGAAAAACTTAGGTAATTCACTACAATCTAATTTATTACAGGAATAATTCCACATGCGTTCATACCATATACTAGTGAGAGTATAATTCCTCAGACCACAGGGATTTCGATGGATTTACTGAACCCTGGCATATTGCTAGACAATGTAGAAGCAGCAGCAATAGGCAGCAGTGCTCTGGCTCCAAAACTGTTAGGAGCCAATATTCTGAATGACAAGAATAGATTCGTGGTATAATAATTTAAATTATAAATTGATGTCGAAAAGGTCAATTATCCAATAAAGTATCCATTACTGGATTAATATTTTAATACAAATTATCGACTAGGGAGAAAATTTGGTCTCATTTAATGGGCTAAGTCGATCGTTCGAGATATCTTAAGTTCTTTTTGTGCATTTTCAGAATCGAAATTTTATTACAACATTCAAAGTAAATTCTTTTTGTGACATAAATTTAAAAAAGATTTATCCGTGCAAAAATCGATATGGATTCTGAAATTGAAACGAAAGAAATGTTGTGATATTGTGTAAAATTTCAGGTGAATGGTTGTTCGTATGATATAAATGGTAGTAGATGCATTGACAATTTAAATCTTTGTAAAGGAAAATGCAAAAACTTTGGTGATAATTTAACTCATGACTGCAGGTGTGTACCAGAAGACCTGCTAACTATTTTAGGCTTGACTACGATTCGGAAATAATCAAAGATTTCATTTTATTCGGTCCCAGTTTATTGTTACCTGATTGATATGACATGAATCTTGTTGTCATCATGACACAACCTTTATGGAAACAGCTAAAATGCCTAACTTTCTCAATTCACTCATTGCTATTTTTTTGACTCATTGAAAATCTCATTTGTGAATTTTGATTTTAATGTTGAGAATTTTGAAACACTAAACTTTAATTAGATTACCATTTTATTCCATTCTAGAATAATCATAGTTGAGATAAATATTTGGCATGCTTCTGCTCATTTTTTCTTCCACATTTTTTGACGTATATCTAAAAAAAATTGGTCCAGCTAACACGACATCAGATTAATAACAATTTAAACCGACTAAACAGTTTGGAAATCAGAAATAAGCTACAGTATTGTCTTATTCTTAAGTAGATGAAGTTCTAACTGCGCCTATAAAAGCTTTTTTTGCATTCTTATGGTTACCAAGCCATAAAAAACTCAGAAAAAAAGTGGAATAAATGGAAATCAAAAACGGAATGAAATCTGTGAAAGTCAAAAAAAACGCAACGCTTGGGAATAGGGTAAATTCAAATAAGTTTTTTTTTCTAAATGAAAGAAGAAAGACGTAATTGTGCAACTTTTAAAGTAATATATAATTTCTCCAAAATGAGATGAGATACAAATGGAAAATAACTACAGAAACAAATATTCTTCGATGGTATATCAGGTATAAAAATGATTTTTGTACCTGATATACCGATTATTCAGACATTTTTCAATCTTGAATACTGCAAATGATATGTTAAAATCGATTGTAGTGCTTGTGGTTAGGGTTCCAAACTGCACAGAGCATGAAAATGATACTGTATGCTAAGAGTTTCCTTCTTTGAATCACTCCTCAAAATTTTATTTCAAAAAAGTTAACTATAAACGAAAGTAAGTATTTTTAACAGTTTCAGGAGAAATTTATAGAACTGCATTTGATGAAGTAAAGTATGCTGAATGTGAAATGAGCGGTATTGATCTTTATGCTAGTCATTATCCCCGCGATATCTTCCTATCGGTGACATCCCAACGGTGTGAGTGATAAATTCATTCTCAGATCGGCTACGGTAGCACGAATCTATTTATGTGCTACCTTTGTTTAAATTTTTGCTCTTTATTTTCAACCACTAACAAAAAGCTTTTTGAAATTTGTAGACCATAGACCATAGTATGATGAGCTATAACTACTTCTATTCATTTGGATGTGCCGACTGCAAAAACAGCAAAAGTAGAGGAAATATTCTGAAGTATCTGCGCCAAATCTGTCTAATGGACAAATATTTATGATTTATTTGCTTAAACTTAGCATAATTAATGTTCATATTTCAAAAAAAGAGTTCTTTCATCGCAAATGTTTGCAGTTCGAATAGAACTCACCCAAAAATAAATAGTTAAAAAGTAATGGAATATTGCACATAGGATTCTAATTTAAAAGTTAGAAGACAATTGACATTGAATTAAAATACGAATAAATTAACAAATCGGAACAGTTTGGAGGAACTGCGCAAGCTAATCTGTTGCGCAAGGCATATTTCATCCTAAACTTAGCGAAGTTTTCCTCCTTTTACAATGTTTTGCAGTTTAAGGATAAAAACTAAAATGTTTAAACGATTACAGTAGTTATATTACATTCGTTCGGTAAAGTACTACGGAAAAAGGTTCGACGGAGAAGTATAGGAAACAATTCGGTAAATGAGTTATGTAACAACCAAAACTATTCCCAACAATACATTGCCAACCAATACCATATGTACTGTCAAATTTTTCCTTCAGTAATTTAGCAACTTGCTGCAGATTATAATTTTTCGTTTCGATTTGCTGCTGCACCAATTTCTGGGCAAAATCCGCCTTTGCTTGATTCATTTCAACACTCTGTAAGCTGTAGCTGTTATAAAATATATGTCGTCAAAGAGAGAAGACAAAGTTACACATTTGGTAGATTGATTATCAGTAATGCGCAAGAATAGGTAACAGTGGTGGAAGTACATGAAAGGTTACCGAACATCTCAATCAATTTTTTTAGCTCGAAAACTTTGCAATTATCAGCAAAACTACAAACTGGCAATTTCATTAACAGAAGAAGTGTCCTTCAGAGGTATGTGATCGTTGGATTGATCCTTCTTTAGAGTTACTTAATCATTAAACACTAATCATCCTTTACTTCTTTTCTTCAAGGATGAAACTCATATTACCTTCAGTCTAACAAACTATTGGATAATGATGTGAGATCAAATAGATGAGGGCAAAGATAGAGAGAGAGGGAGAGAGAGCAAGATGGAATGCTAACTAAATGACACGAATTAAATTAATTAAATGACATCAAAAAAGTACTTACACGATTCATTCTTGTTGCTTTGCGCTGTTTTATTGTCCCTTTGTGTCTACTCAACCGCTTAATAAACAGAAATCTGTGAAATGATTATTATAAATGAGCACTGAATTCATTTCTTAAGTTATCTGATCAAGAATTTTCAATTCTATTTAACTTAATTAGAATATTAAATGGAACGACATACTTACTGCTTCAATTCCCATTTGCATTTCCTTTTTCTCATTTATAATGCTTTCACAAAGTATTTCATTTTGATCGATGATGCATTAAGTACCAAAAAATTTCAAATAAACTAATCGATATGTTTGTCTTTCAACGTCGAGTTTTTTGAATGTTGCGCATACGAGTCGCGCAACTTTCATGCGTATGCAGGCGCAAAATGCCATCATCTTGTATTTCACGTGTATCAATAACTGATATCACATGTATTGGCATGATGCTTACAATGAAAACAATAAATTTGGCAGTGCATTACTACATCAGAAAGATCCAACAGGTATTGTGAGAAAGGAAAATGACAATAAGAGTAGTTGCAGAATGAATTTAAAAAGTGGAAGTAATGCAATGAAGTCATCTGGTCTAATACTTGAATAATTTTGCTTGAACATACTTGAATAATAATAGTAATAATAAAGCTATTATTTACTTCTGAATTGACCTTCGGAAAATATATGCTTCCATTAGGACCTCAGTACTCTAACACCTTTAATTAGTTCGAAGTTAATAAAGTGCTTCCGCTTGATTAACTCTACAATAGAATTACACTCAATAGTATCGTCGTATTTTGAGGGATGATATTCCTCTTGCAGAAAAAGAATGATTCAATTACAAGAATTTAAATTTATCTCTGACTCACTCATTTGGTAGCTGCATCAGTGTTATCAGTATATCAAATAATATATTCTATCCCACATCCACTATACGTTATTATCTTTACCCATGCAAAGTTCCTTATCAGCTCCTTCCACTTCCAGAACTTCCACGTTATGATCGTCATTTGCTCTAATGTCTTACTTAGACGATACAATCTATATCACATCGGTTTCCGTTTTCGATTCCTTTTGTTTTTCTACTGCTTCTGCTGTAGCTGTAACTATTTCCTGCATATTAATAGAAAGATCCGTGGGACGGGAAATAACTGAGGAAGGAAAAGTAGGTTGTACAGCTATTTTCAATGTCCATTGTCCTTCAACAAGTTCTGCTGGAGTGTGTTCCGGAAAAGTTGATCCTTGATCTCCTGAAACTCAAATTTGTTTTAACTTGTGTTGTAATACTACATATCAACATATTGTGAATCCATTATTCTTCCTTTTTTTTTTTCACAGAAACAATTCTGAATTTGCAAAATTTTATGCTGAACCAGACAATTCCTCTTTCGGAAGTTTTGAGATCAAAGATCTGATGAAACGGTTTCAATAGGATTTAGAAGGTAAAAATTGAACTGTTGTACTCATCGCACTAATTCAGATAATTAAGGTTGAAATGTTTAGCCAAAGAGATGTGTAGATAAACAATAATATATGGATAAATTAAACGTGAACCTACCGTTTTCAGCTTGTTGATCATATGCATAATTCTCATCTTCGTAATCTTCAATTGTGACCAACTGCTTCTCTTCATCAAAATCTTCGGTTGATGACGGTCTGGCACTTACCGTTTCCTCAATATGAGCATCCTGATGATCTGGAACTCGATCTGCAGCGACAACCATTTCAAACGGAAAACGTTCTTCAAAACTTGAACGGTCATCAAATTGGGACACTTTCCCAGAGGCTTCGTTGGCAACACTCATACTACTGCCATTATCGGTAGTTACTTTTTGCTGATCTTGAGCTTGCACTTGATATGAATCAGAGGGAGTTTGAGAGTATTGTGTATGTTGCTGATGTTCGGATTCAGTTGAATAAGATAGCTCTCTTCCGTATTCAGGACTAAGCTGATTACCTTGACTATCTCTCTCCGACTGTTCCGGTTGATTTGACCAACTTTGCCTTTGCAACTGTTGTTGTTTTTGAACAGTTTCTTCTGACTGAGTCTGACTTTGTTGCTGTTGATCTTGCATCCACCACAACTGTTGAAGCGGTTTTGGAGTTGTTTTCAGTATTTTGCGATTTTTTTCTATTTGCTTCAATTTTTCGAAATTCAGAAGTTTGCGATGCTTCAACTTTGCACGTCTAATTTCTTCAGAAGTCATGAGATTTGCTGGCAAAGACCCATTGAAGAATGTAACAGTTTGATCTTGTCTTGAGGCCAAGTATTGTTCTTGTGGTGATACTCGTTGCTGTTGTCTCCAGACATCTGTATCAACTATTCGTTCCTTCGGTACGCGATTTTGCGCCGATTGAACAGCTTGCTGATATCGTTGCAGTTCTCGCTCATACATCACTGCCCGTTCATATTCATCACGACGACGTTGTTGTATTAGTCTCTCACGCTCCCGTAAAGCTTCAGCACGTGCATTTTCATAAGCCTGCATTTGTTGAATATATGTTTCCATGTGTTTTGTATGAAGATGTTCAGGTGATGGAGTTGCAGCCGTGCCAAAAGAGTCCGTTTGAGGCATAACTTGGCTACCTCCTGGTACTTCTCGAGGTCTTGAATAACTAGTTTGTCCTCCTGACTGTCCAGTTTGTCCATAATCTTGTGCTTCGTTGGTCCTCACTTTTTCCCGATATTCCTGCGTCATCTGCACTCCATCGGAAGTTTCAGACACACGTCCACGTTTACGTACAATCATACGGGTACTATATCCTTGCCCCGGTTCTTGTTTAAAACGATTTGAAATCATCCTCCAATGTTGCGATGGATTGTATTTAAGTAGATATCGGTATCTTCTGGCTAGCTGTGCACCTCGATCTTGGCTATTTCGTACATTCATTGTCCGCATTCTCTGAAATTACTAAGAGATTACTTTTATGTACAATTTTTGTACACCAAATGTCTGTTGCACTATTATTGCTGAGAGGCATCATTTATTCTACCCTGTTAACTGGACTTGTTGCCTACACATTTTTATCCATTTCTATTGCGCTCTCAAATTCAGATTTCATTCCTTATTTTCATTTCTGAAATACAAGAATTCACAGATAGAGATGATTCCCAGGTTTAGGTTTCTTATAACTACAGCTCTTAGGTGGATTCAACATCTGCGGAAGTGGGAATGTACCTTTCCGGGCAGTGGTCTGCTGTGCTGTTTTCTCTCAAGTCCTTTATCATTATCAGCCTGGGAACTTGCAAATAAATTGCTGTATTGTCGTCCTTCTCCTGATGACATAGCTTCATTAAGCTGAAGAAGAAAAGTAAAAATCAAAAAAGTGTATTAGATCTCATTAAAAAGGAAAACTTCAGTCGTAGTTGACAATTTTGCAGCAATTTAAAATGAAATTAAAATTTTCGAAGTTTTTAAAGTTTGAACTTAATCATTTTGGAATTTCATCGCTTTATTCCTTTGTCGGACCTCTATATCAATTCATTCGAACAGCTATAAAACTCTGGGAAGAGAAATTGGACCTCGAGAAAAATTCATGGGAGAGTCAAAACAGAATTCAGAGACACATTAGAGAGAAAAATAACTTTTCCGATCAAAAACTCTCCAAGTTGCAAAATAAATTTAAGATTTCCTCTTCTCATGATCAAACCAAAAGTTTCAAGAAGTCATTTACATAATGACTGCTTTTGGATTCAGGAATGAATCGTCGAAAGGTCATTTTAGTTTCGGAAGTGCGATTATCTGCGTAAATTCCACAAACTGACATACAGTGCGTGTAAGAGTAAAACATATTAGAATTCCCACCGCATCCTGACCACCAGCTGAAATTTTAATTAAAATTTGAATTATATCTAATATTTAAAATTTGAAATTGTTGAATTTTTCAAAAGATTTCAAAAAGTTTTGGAATCTTTTAATGTACAATATTTTCAGATTGCTCATGTGACGTATGCATAATGTTTGAATTATCCTTTCAAATTTTAATTGTATTCTGGAATCTATAGATTGCAAAATTATTTGAATCCAAGAGTAACAACTTACCCAAGGACTTTACTGAGATAATTTAAGGAAGGGATAGAGAGGAAAAAAATTCTGAGGTATAAAAGGGAGAAATATTGGAAGAAGAATTTTACTTATACCTGCAGACGCATTGCCGTATTTGCATATCAAAATACCAACGTTCAAAGTTACCAGCACAAGTACCGGGGTCATGTGGTTGAACACACCTTCTCCTAGGGTCATCCAAAGGTTCGTACCTGCATGCTTGACTACATTCTGCAATTTGGTATCATTCAATAGGAAGATATAAATGTTCTAATGTTGACAGCTTTACTAGAAGATTTTAACACAAAAAGTAGAAATCCAAAAATTAGTAACCCATATCTTATCTCTTATCATTACAGATAATAAAAATAAAATGAAGTAAACTTTATTGAGTTCAACCAAGGTTGAAACATTTTCACTTAGTAAAACACTTTCTTTCAATACTTTAACCACTAGCAAAGCATACAAAGATACAATCCAACAAACTTTGAAACGAACAGAATGACAGTTCACTATGCATTGATAAAAATGTTGATAAAAATGAGCAATGAATTGTCAAAATACTGATAAAAATGAGCAATGAATTGTAAAAAGTTCAGATAGAGCAAAGAAGAATTACAAAGGAATGATACTAACTTCGTTCTGATATCCAAATTTTAGTTATATGAGAGTATTGGAGATCAGTGTGATATGTATCTGTCGTATGAAAAACTTGCATTCATCTTTGTGTTGCATTTCTGCTCTTTAAAACGCAGAAACCACTTACACCGTAAATCAGTGGTTCCACTGGATTATTCCATATCATGAGCTTGAAAAGATACCTTCAAATGAGTCAAAACGATTTTCATTGCCCTCACAACCACCATAATGAAACTCTCGGCATCGATGTGCATATCGATCATAGTACCACTTTGTTGTAAATCCACGATCTTCACAAGTACCTCTGTTAGGATAGTGATTACATCGAGTATTTTCTAACATCTCCTGACCACCGATCCATTTTATCAGTATAAGTATGATAGTACTCTTGAGCATTATTTCCAACCCACTGTTATAAATATGCATTACCTGAAGTAGAATACTTAGATTAAATTTGTCACACAGAAGAATAAAGTTTAAATAGTAAAATGTGTTTTCAGTTTAACATCACAAATTTGAAAATGAATGAAGGATCGTTGATGAAGCGTAAATAAAGTATCTATTTATACTGGACATGAAGGAATAAGTGATATTTTTTTAGATTGGAATAGCAATTCAATGACAACAGTATTCACAAACAACAGTATTTTGAAAACAGCATTCAAACTTTTGCAAGAAAATTTCCGAATTTTCGACGATATGAAAGTTAATTATTTTCAGTTTTAAGAAGAAAGCAGAAATAGAGACAAAATGGTGCTAAGAACATTATTCTGAAAAGAAAAAAACTTTAGAATTAAATGTGCATAAAGCTATACTTCAAGTGTTTAAGCATTCTGTCCAGGAACAGGATGAGGGAAGATGCCGGCAGGATTTATGGCAACATGTGCTCTGGAAGTGCTTTTCAACTTTTATAAGTTCAAGCAGAAATAACACCGATCTTTTTTTTGCAACCATTGAAATTGTTATTACTATTGTCTGTCAAAATGACAAATTGCAACGACTTGCCTTTCCATCTTTTGAATCCAAAAAAAAAAAGACGTTCTCAGTCTGGCAGGCCAATCGATTGAACGGAATATATATACTTCTCATTTCTTGAAAGTTTAGACTTTAAGTGGGATATCTCGATGGTTTCGATGGTAAATGGTTTTTTGATGAAGTTGTCGACGAGTTCATAAGTTTTATCTCAGGTAGCTAAGATAATCGATAGATTTGTTTCCAAAGTCTAAATTGGTATCAGTTGTACAATTGCCGTAAGTTAACATAATGATCGTTTTCATTAACGTGCTTGTCATCAGAATTTTCTGTGAACGCTATAGTCACATGAAAGATTTCCGTAAATGTTATTATCACTATTTTGCCTAATGCATTACGCAATCGATTCTCTCAGATGTTATAATTACGAAAATTGGACAGTCTAAAGTTAACTAGAAAAAGGAGTAAGTCTCAATTTTCGCAGCTGAACAATATTTTGCTATCCAACTGAAATCAAGGAATTAAATTAATCCGGAATATGGTCTTGGAACCGAAGCGTAAAATCCACCAGGAAGCTTATTACAAGAATTCAAGTTAGCTCGGAAGTGAAATTTTAACAAAATGAAAATAAAAAAAAGTGAAGGAAATTAGTGAATCTTCCAAAGCAAACTTTTTGAGTCCTTCAAGAGTTATTAGTACAAAAGGCACAATTGATGTTTAAAAACGTTGTACCAATTGTAATAAGTTTCAATGGAAAAGCTTTTTAACCAGGAGAAGAAGAAAGGAAAGGGAGAAAAAAAAAGATCCCGAGGAATGCTACACCAGACATATTGCGGTTCACGTTATGGAACAGCTGCCGAATTGCAATTCAGAAAGTACGTCAATCAATTCAATGATGATATTTGCAAAAGTCACCAATTTTAATTTCTTCCTCCAATATTAGAAGTAATTAATTACAGAAATCAGAAGCGATATATTTGATAAGATCAATTGGAAACAATTAGCAATGTATCTTTCAGTAAAATTAATCCACATTATTGCAAGGAAGGAAAGCTACTATTTTCAATCATTTATGGCTTAAAAATATATAGTTTAACCACGAATTGCAATGCATGGAAATAAATCTTGATGGGAATGCGGTGGTGGTTCTCTACAGAAAGTATTATTCAAGAATTTTTGCAATTTCAGAAAAAAAGAAAATTGATTATCAGTTGATCGATATTTCCCGCCGTAATATCGTCTCAGCCAAATTTAAAAAAGATAATTTGAAAAAATGCAAAAACATATTTGCTAAAGAGCAATCTCCGTCTTTAAAGTTTTTAAATTATCCTTTTTCCACTTTTGACAAAAATATTTCGCTTTCTCTTTTTCTTTTATATTGTGCAAGTTTTATAAATAAATTTTGCAGAGACGTAGCTGTACTTCACCAACCGTTGCAAATATCGGGAACCATAAAAAAGTTAGATTTTTTTACAATAAATCGTGACATGATCTTATTGAATCAAACTGAAATTGAAATCGAGACAATATCAATCATGGAAAGATGGCTTCTTATTTCTTTATCAATATCAATTTTATTAAAGGTAATAGCAGCTTATACCCAAAGCTCAGGTAATACTTTAATGAGGGCAACACGTAAAGTGATTCAAATTATGTGATCTGTGTTTCTCAAATGTCGGGTACCTATCTAGAACTACTTGATTACATAGTTGGAAACGAGTAATGAGAAATAGAAGACATTATGGAGGAGGTTCCTAGGAATTGCAATAATTGTAGGAATTGTGATAAAAGCTAAATAATTTTGTGTTTCAATCCTAATTACACACACTTAGTTATTCAGTAAGGGATAAGAGTTGTTTACTGCTGATTAAAATTTTTTTTGAGCAAAAAAAAAAAATTGCCGACAAAATTAAGAAGTATTATTGCCATTTTTATTACTATTAAAATGAATTAAAATTAAAATTTTCTGTTTCGTCGTTACTGTTGTCACTATCATTGATGTCAACAGCACCGTTACTGTAGCGATTTATTGAAATGAAAGAAGTTAGTAACTGTGTCAGTAGAACTCAGCACAGATCGGGGGTGTTAGTTTTTGATTAAAATTGATTTTGCGCCTTTCAAATGATCACAACCTCCCTGTGTTTTACAAGCTATAATATTCTGCAAGTTTCGCATGATTTGGTGTTATTCAGAAAAATGGTTTGCGAGAATTCCATCAGTTGACTAAAAAAAAAAAAGCCAAATAAACATTTGAAATGTAAAAAGAGCATTAAACTATAACTTCTATTTTCCATGTATGACAATACAAATCAAAATATGGAGGATATTTTGTTCAATTAGATGAATCGAGACCAGACTACTAATTGTTTTGTTAGATTTAAATGATTTACAACCATACCTGGAATCTTATTTCCTTGTAGTTTATTTTGTAGATGGAGATACTCAAACGGCCTTAACTAATCCCACAAATACGTAAGATAAAACGAAACCACCGGAAATTAGAGACACTATTAGTGAGGTAGACCGGTATTATGCCACTCTGCCTCACTAATAACGTCTCTAATTTCAAATATCCTCTACTAATTCTTTTTACAGTAAAGCATTTCCCATCTAATACCAGTGTTCTATTTGCTCTCTTGTGGAATTCCCAAGAATGGTAAACTTAGGAAGTATCCCGTGTTTACCGTTCTTCCACTTTTATTTAGATGAATACAAAAACAATACGTAAATCATTCAAAATTTAGCCAAGTTTTACGAATGTTTGCCCTATACAGCAGATATTCATAAAATTGAAATGATATTCGTTTCTTTATGCGTGCACTCAAAATTATTTAATCCACAAAGAGCACCAAAGCAGCTCAGATTTCATTGCGATGCCGTCAGCATTGAGATTTAATCATAACCGAACAGCGATGACATTTTTTGCTGCTTCAGCTCTGACCACATGTCCACATAAAGTATACGAATCTTAACGTCTGCCAAGTAATCACTTTCCCTGTAGATACCACTGGAACATATGAGGTGTCCGATTTTGCCGACAAACAGAGTAGACGACCTCTACTGGTTATTTAAATTTCTGATATCCCGAAACTTTTGAAGCAATTATAGACTGAGTCAGAACATTTACTACCGAATTTTTATTATTATTTCGTTGGACTTATTATAGAACAGTAAGCCTGATTGAATTTTATACAGCTATAAAACAGAATTATTAAATAACAGAATATTTTGCTATTATGTTGAAGTTGGAATTACAACAATATGAATAAAATTATCAAGGTATGAAAGATTTTGCACCATCCAAATAAGAGGGGTTGTTGGGGGTATTTTAATACCATGAGAGATCACAGGTGATTGAGTCTCAATGTTTATGGCTTTAAGTGCATCAGCAATAGTACGTGCTCGATCTGATTCGTCAAAAGGCGTAATCAGCGGTTGCTGGAAAGAACGGTCGACCTAAAAATCGAAAAGTATAAAGAAAACATCGTCATGCTATAAAGCAGCAAAGAGAACATATATAGCGTCTTTTGTTTTGACAGCCTAGAATGAAATAATAGATTTTAAGATGCTCTGTATTATTTCATATCTCAATAAATTGCAATATATTTCGAGTTTATCCGTATGTTTTCCTGTACTTATAGGTAAATTAACAAGCAAAACTATCATTAAGACTGTGCAGCTAATTCAAAACATTGAAAAAAAAAAAAAAAGAAATTAGTGTTACCTGATAAATACGTATAGGAACATGCAGCATAGGTTCACTTTCACTAGCTTCCATAAGTTTCTTATTTATAGCCCAAAATTCATCAAACTTGTCTGCAATTAAACAATATTTTAAGTCTTTGACAAACATGTCATAAAGTAATCGAATAATCCACAATGCAGACCCTTTTCTGTAAAATTATGCCTAATGTCCATTATCCCATTTCCCGCTCCTTTTTTTTCTTCCAAATTGTTGGTAAGTATTAAACGTTTAAGAAGTAAACAGTAAAATAAAGTTTTAAACAGCAAAGACAACTAACCATTCAGTATACTACTCCATAACTGCCGATGTTCATCAACTTTCATTGAATTGACCACTCTAGCTTTGTGCTTCAATTGATCAGCTTCCTTAACAGACTGAATATATGAGCTCTCTAAGTCGTTGCCCCTGAATCGCATTACTTCTTTCGGAGAGTCCTAACGTAAACAACAACATGAAGTGACTTCCAACAATGCACTTTCTTTCGCTAATTTGCAAGGATTTCATATTTCCAGTGCAGAAAACTTAACAATTGGAAATCAAAATAGGGGGTACTAGTAAGCAGATCAAAAGTACCATAAAAAGGATTTTTCAGAAATGCAAGAAAAGCAACAAACCTTGGTTTTTAGCACAACAGTCCACGGTAAAAGACCATCCGTTTTCAATAAATCAAACAAAACGCCCACTGGATAATGCCTAAAATGACCAATATAAACTCCAGCCTTTAAAGCCCTAGAAATTCCTATTTCCTTTTAAATAGCTTTATCGTCCAAAATGAGTAATGCAGTAAATAAAGTACAGTCCTTATCGAAACGAATGAATTACATCTCAAACTCTATGAGTGAATAATGTAACATATTTAGAGAACAGAAAAATAGGTAAACACCATTTCAACGGTTTAGTGTTGTACCGTAACCATACTGAATCTGCATCAAAGTGGTCAACAACGGCCATAAAGTACTGCAACACCCGCGGTAAAATTAGAGGGAAATAGCTCATGCCTGGAACCATGACCTGAAAAAAAGATGAAAAAATTCATAGTTTTGAACAAGCAAGTAAAAACAACGATTGTACGATTGTATTAATCGTTAAAATGATAACTGCTTGATCTGTTTGGACAGACATACTACCGACTGGATATGCAGCTTCGTAATTAGTCTTGTGTACTATGCCATAGCATACGTCAGCGATAAAACCACCCCCAGTAATGTAACACAATTATATTTTGAAATATGAAATAAAACTCTGCACCATAATATATTATTTTACGACAAGCAGTAGACAACGTCAAAGGCAGTACATGTTTGTTTAAAAAAAAAAAAGATTTTATTGAAATTCAAAGAAATTTTGAAAAAAAAAGTTTGAAATTCAAAGAAAAAATGGAAACTAACACAGAATGGTTTGGCTGAACACTGGATAAATTCCAGCTTATCGAGAACAAACTGCACCGGGATACGTCCATCCCATAATTTCCGGGTGACCTCGTAATCCTGTATCATCGGTCCTGGAGTAGCGATGTATGAAAAAAACGAGAGAAAATCGGAAAAGAGAGTAACTGAACCGATATGTTCTTCGACCTCCTGTTCGAATCCGGAATCAGTATACGTTTCCTCAATCTACGACATCTGCCTTTTCTTCAACTGAAGTAATTTGAAGTAAGTTCTTTAAGTAAGGTGACCGCGGTAGAAATAAATGACCGCTAAGAATTCCCACACGAAGGACATAACCTCAAGTTCAGTTCGTAGCTAACCTGACAAAAGTCACGCCTCACCAATCACGCAATATACGCAAAATGCGCAACCACCAAGCGTAATATACCTGCGAAACAATTGTTAAGTGTATTGTATCACCATGACTGGCATTTGATGCAAATGTTTATCCAACTACTTCTCACTGCGATGAGGGAATAATCTGTGGATGAGAGAGAATAGGCTTCGGTCTTATTTTTTTGAAGAACTATAATTGGCTACTTTTCAGGTGAAGTTGATTGCTCAGAAAATGAAAACATGCAGACAATATGTTCGCTACTTTTATGATTAATTATGGCGACATTTTGTTATTCCATCGTTTTATCTTATGCAATCAAATAAAACGCTAAAACTATGGCCAACTAAGTTCCTGAAGGCCATAGGCCCACAATTTGGTAGTTCCAGTCTTTTCATTTACGATGACATTCTCCTTGATGATTACCTCATTATTACTGTACTTCTTCATTATTTACGACGTTGAAATTTGTTTAAATCGTAATTTGTGGTGATTTATCATCCTTTTGGTAAAAAATCCAAAAAAAAAAGTTACCTCAAAACTCTTATTTCTTTTCTTTTATTCTTCGTTCTGTAGTTGTGTGTGTGTGTGTGTGTGTGTGTGTATGTATGTATGTATGTGTGTATGTATGTACATGTGTATTTGCACATGTGCATGTGCGTGCATGTGTGTATGTGCGTGAATGGGATGAATGAGGAAGCGTTTGGGATGACCACATTGCGGCTTTGCTTTCAAAGGTTTCTGAAAGAGTGGCAGCTACTTACACAAATGTTCAGAAGCATTGCAACGGATATACATTGGAATGTGCATTAATCACATACCTTTGCTGCAAGTTGGTTCAACATTCTTGCATATACTTTTAATTAATTAAAAAAGAAAGGGGAATTGACAAGCCAGACATGTGTGAGGATTGTTGATTAACGAGAAGAAGAGAATCTTAACACTGTACAGTAATCGTTTACAAGCAGCGCGAGATTTCACGTGAGGTACTATTTTAGGATGAGAACGGACAATGGCAAGCTAAGTTTTTGCATTAGTTTCATGGCCTAAATGCAATATGTTCTAAATAAACTTGATCCGAGGAATTTCAGATATGCGAAGTAGAATAGTTTCATTCTTCCTTCTCAGTCCTACTCTTACATCTGCTCCATTCTCTAAATCTCATTTTAAAGTAGGATTTGCAAACTTCACTCTAGGTTTCTGTTTATCTTAGTAGGAAGTGGCAGTCACTACTGTGCTGCAAATTATTTTTGTTCAATTTTTTCTAAATCAGGAATAAGCAGATTGAGAAGTGAGTCCAAAAAAAATACTTTGTTTTTGATGTGACTGAACAATATTAGGCAAATAGTGATCCTGCTTGATGTCACATTACCAACAATTTACATATGACTGAATGAAGAAGATTTGAGGCAGCAAAATCCATTGACTACCGATCTTCGCCAAGTATATGTGTTTTAAGACAGTTGCTGATATTATTGATATTTTGTTACAACACATACACATATTCTCTCTCTCTAAGAAGAATCTCTGAGAGTGTACAACAGCTACTAATAGTTCCGTCTTTAGAGCCATTTTCCTCCTCCCACAACTTTGTCGGACATGATTCCTGAATGATTCAATTGGTTCGGAATTCTGCTTCACTGCTTTCTTGAAACAGAGATTTCTTCGTGTGTGTTTCTGTATGTGTGTGCGCGTGTGTCTGTGCGTGTGTGTGTGTGTCTGTCTGTGTGTGTATGTGCATGTGTGTATGTATGTATGTGTGTATTTGTGTTTGTGTGTGTGTGTATGTGTGTGACAAAACAGTAAATGTTTCGTGCAGTGCATGTTATGCACTCAACCAAATCACTATTTTTTACCAAAATTTAAAGTTGTGATGAAAAAAAAAGCTGGAGAAATGCGATTAATCTGAAAAAAGGTAAGAGAGGAGCAGAAGTTATTCATGTGAATTACTTTTTGTTCTTGGTCCCATCTTCCTTAGGCTTTTATGTTTACTTTCTCTAATCAGGCCTTCTTTACCATTTCATATTGCCCCTATATTACCCCCCTCACTCCTTTTTAGATTACAATCAATTTGAGTGCTAATGAGTTGCGGTTTAGATATCTGTCAAATTACTGTTAATCAACCAATAACAATAAGCCAAGTAATTTGATAATAACTGGTTGATAATTACGCATTTGTTAGTAGGCGAAGTATACGAAATGAATTAATGATTCATTTAATTTAACATTACTCATCTCTACCTTGGCTGAATTATACGGATTGAATTTCAATAAATAATTTCCAATCGAAAATATGCGTTGTTTTTGTAAACATTTTTTTAGCCGAAAAATTGAGATATTTAGAAGATATAGCATAATTTCTTTTCATTGGTTTAATTAATTTCAATCTGTGAATATGATAAATTTGTAAAATTTTGTAATTTAAAACTTAACGAAACCGTAATCGAAATATTTGAAACAAAGACATTCCAAGAGAATTCCCTTTTACAAGTCGTAAGTCTCTCTATCTCATAGCACATTTAGAAATTGAGAACAGCTGGCAAGTTAATTGTCTTATTCTTTATTTACTCGTTTACACTCTGTTCAGAACTTCTACATATTTAAATTGCCATGCAGTTAAAATAAACATTCATTTAATTCTTCTTTAAAAGACTAGAATCAATAGACTGAATTGAAATTATTATGACCATTTCAAGTTAGTTTTGCTACAGAACATTTTTTGTTTTTAAAATAGATGCTGGACGACGGACGGGACCAAGCAGCTGTGCCTTGATCAACTCTTTGAAAGATCTAGAAGAGGCTTGGGTAATTTAGCACAGGTTTAATCTAAAATTTTAACTTCAGATTAGATTTGAACATTTCCATTTCCACAATTGGAATAAGCTTATAAGAATAAAATTGTAACATGTTTGTCGATATTTTATGTCTTTATACAAAATAAAACTTGAAAAACAAATTAATGAATTTCAATATTTCGATGATTCATCCCACACGATATATCTGTGATTTGTGATCCATTAAGCTTTCTTCTCCACTTCAATACAAATTACTCCATATCAACCACTGCCAAACGTTGAAAAAAATGTCAAAATCTCTAGGAATGATACTTATCATATACATATTCTATTCTCTAAGTGAAGATTTTTGCAAATTTCATTCAAATTTTTCCAACTTCTTGCATATTTTAAAGAATATTTAGCATTAGAGTGACTTTTTGTATTGCTTCAAAATGCATTCTATCCAATCTTACATGTACAGAAACGTGAATAGGAGAAGTAGTGAATGTTCTGAAGTTTGAAAATAACGTTTTGTATAGGGAAGAAAGAATGTTGTGGGATGTGCAGCATGTATGTTAGAGATATAAATAAAGTTCGATTCTGAGCTCAAACTTTTGTTGATGTTGCTGGTGGTAATGATGATAGGAACAAGAGTGATAGTTAACCATCCATTGCTTATCAGAGTTCTCTAGACAACGTCTTGAATTGAAGTGATACACTTCAGGTTATACATCTCTACCAACCGAACTAGCGCAATACATACTCATTTAAGCACACACACACACGCACGCACACACACACACACACACACATACACATACACACACACAAACATACATACGCACACACACACGCCGACAAACATATAGCTGTACGGAAAATTTTCAGATCGAAAACAGAACAGCTTCCAGGTGCAAGAAGCAGCAAGCAGTAGCATAACAACTTCCAGCCAAAAGCTTAGTTAGGAGAAGTTTGGAAGAACGGAAGTAGAAAATAAGCATGGCGGATGAGGAAGATATTATGGACGAGGCCGAGGAATCCCGGGAGGATGAGGATGAGGATGCCGGAGAAGATAAATCGGTAAGTTTACTGGTTGTTTCTTCACTCTTTGGTACTGCATTATCCGAATTATCTTAATAGATCCAATGCCATCTCCATCATTCATATTTCTGAAATATAACTTCAAAGAAATATTGTGTCGCTGTGATAGGAAGTGATAGTTATGTCTTGACAATGATGCAACTGACAGAATAGGTATTACTACCTGAACATAGAACTTTCTCGTCTAAATCTAACGGCTGCGAAACATTTTCAACGCCATTTATTTGTCTGTCAAATGTCACATATAGCATAAGTCGTATTTCACATCACTCATCCCAATTTTCATCTAATACATTTTATAAATGCGTTTCGAATTATTTTCAATCTAAAAGAGTGCTTATTATTGTATGGATTTTTCCATTAAAAGTTTAAATTCATGTGGTTTAAAAGCAATTTTGTCCTTCAGATTTACATAATAGTATATCTGAATATAAGCGCTTCTATTTAGTTTTTCAAGATGGATAATACCGCTAGTTCATGAAAAATAAGTTTAAGGACATCAACCCGCATGCTTTGCTTCAGAAACGTTCTATTTCAGGAAAAAGACGAAGCGGATCGGAAATTTTCATCAGCCCCAGAAACCACGAAACCTCCACCACCACTTGGTATTAAAAGCCCAACACCTGGTCGTCAATATGGTGTGCCAGAGGTACCGAAGAGTCTTCAGCGACGTGCTGCAAATTATTCAGGTGGCAAACCATCAAAGCATGACAAAGATAAGTTGATGCGCTCCGAAGGCATTATTCCCATTCAGGCTGGATCTAACAAATATGCGTCACAGCGGGGAATGACTGGTTAGTTAAATAATGTTGTTACAAAATGAGAGATTAAAAAATTGATTGCAAATTGTAATTTTGAAGGAAATTAAAAACTTGCACTATTCGTGTATGTTTTCGATAAAGCAAATAACAATTAAAGAAACTGCAATTTCCAATTTTTTATTCACTAATTTCTTATAGCTTTGATTTATTATTGGAACATTAAAATGGATATCGTTTTTGGGATTGTTTGGCGGATATATCGAAATATTCTCTTTTTTTTTAATTTTTACTTTGGAATGATTTTCAAAATCATTCCAGATTTTTGGATTGAGTATAAGCTAAAAGGAGTCCACCTTCAAATTTAAAAATTTATTCAAGGAATCATCAAGAATACTGACCCTTTTAATACTTTCCATATGTAGAAAATGTATCTACATGGATTTTCATACTCCTGCTTTTCAACATTTTAATTGAGGTTACGACTAAAAAGCACACTGGTATTTCAGAAGGCTAATCAATAAGTATCCATCAAGTGATTTACCGATGATAGTAGTAGAATCATTCAAAATACTGCCATATGACATAATTCGGTAAATTAAATTACCGGTCCTTTAAATGTGTTGGCCATTAATCTTTGAATTGATGACATTTGCACTATTTTGCGAGATTTTTGAATTAGTTTGAAAAAAAAAGAACTAGCTTAAATGAGAGTGTTTGAAGTGCTTTGAGCAACTGTTGTTTCTTCATAACATCAGCACTTCCATTCTTTGTTATTGAAAGATAGAGTAGCAAGAAAATATGTATTTATTTCAACTATTTCGTCTCTAAATATTTCTTACATTTCCTACCGTATGCAATAATATCTTATGTATATACAAAGTTGTTTTACATCCAAAAGTTATTATTCAATTCAAAGTACCTTTGAATTCAAATCAGTCGTAGTTGAAAAGTGCAAAGAATTGAACCAATTTAGCTTTTTCTTTTTTTTTTTAAATTTAAATAAGCTGATAAGCACGTAAAATTGATGAATAAGGTGAGTAAGAAACGTTCAGTAATTAACTGTACGAAGTTTATTCAATTATACCGGTGTGTCATGTGATATGAGTTTATCATAGATACGGGGAGATTTAGCAGTCAGTATATGCCGGAGAGGGAGTTACTAAGATGTGAGGTTATGATGGAGAATAAAAGATCATAATTAATTATGGGGAAAGATTTAAGATATTGAATGATGTCGCATTTTGTGAGGGAATCATGACTGCTGAGAATTGTGAAATAGTGCATGAAATTGTTGAAATATACGACAATTACTTTTTGTAACTGTTATGAGAATAACTGAAAGAAAGTGAACCAAATTGGAGAAGTAATAATGATGGATAACATTTTCGTAAAGTAAATTCAACAGAGAACTCGAGATCTCTTTCAAGATTTTTCTCCCAGAAATACGGCCTCTGGAGAATGAAGACTTTTGGCCAACTTTATCAATATAGCGCTAGTTTTCATTTCAATTCCTATCATATCCTTTTCCAAAAGTATTTCTTTATCGGATGTCTGAGAGAATTTTAGTGAACGGAGAATCCAATCATGTACCTTTCTGATCATATGGTTGATACTGAACGTTTATCTATCGTATTTACTAGCTTTACATCTGTTGTTAGACTTGATGCATACCTATGAAACAATTGTGTTGATGATGAATGTTATTAGGATATATTTATTGACTATACATTTGAAAATTTTTTTAATTGAAATTTAATACTTATAATTTGTTGCAACAAGGAGAAATTTATTTAAAATCACAAATTCGGAGTCTAATAGTATCATGAAACTTCAAAAACGCAAAAAAAAAATGCCGAGCCTTGCTAAATTTGGTAAAAAAATTCCAGGTTTTGGTGTTCCCCGTGATGTAATTGATAAAGTTAAGGCAGATAACTTGCAAGAAATTACGGATGCGGAAAAAATAAAGAATTTGAAACAGTCAACTTGGCTACAGTCTGGTACCAACAAATTTGCATCACAAAAAGGATTGACCGGTATAATTTTTGTCATTTCATGAGCTAGGTTACACTGAAACAGGAGTTGACACCCGTGCATTCCTTATCAATTAATATGACATATTAATTGTATTTCGCTACATGTGCAGCTACGACTTTCGAAAGATTCAAAAGAAAAAGAAATTGCAGGGTTTGGTTCACCTCGCGATGTGAATTATAAAACAAAAGGTACCGGAGGTGCAAGTGAAGTGCCGGAGGAAAAAGCACGAGCAACTGATGGTATTGTACCATTGCAATCCGGTACAAATAAATTAGCTTCTCAAGCTGGTATGACTGGTATGGGTATGCCACGAATCGTTGACGGTATGTCTTCAAAACGAACCTTTGCTTGCAGTAATAAACTAAATAATTTATTCGAAATACTGCTCCAAGTTATGCTGTTCGAAAGTAATTCGATTGAGTGAGGCTTGTTTATCGACCTTCAGCAATAGATTTCCTGGTAGCATCTCGAGCTTTTTAGCAAAATCCTGAACAATCTAATTTCCGTTTTCACATTTCTCCTGCAAGTATCAGGAAGGAATAATTCTTTTAGATTCATGATGCATTTGTTTTTTGTTCAAAAATATTCTGGGTAAATTTTAGTGAGGAAAACTGATGAGCAAGATCGAAATAGCCAAGGATTCATTCATCTTCAAATGGGTACCAATCGTTTTGCTAATCAATCCGGTATGACCGGTTTTGGTATGCCTCGACACAATATTACCAAATATAAGGACGAAGTAAGAGGTGAAATGCCTAATGACGAATCGACTATGTCACGACAAACTAGCGGCTGGAAAGAAGGCGAGCGTTCTTAATACCTAATACCTTCCCAAATCATAATTACTAATACATCATTGAACTGTTCCATCTTGCAATCACATCCTTCCCAAATACATTCTCGACGAGATTTCCATCGCTTTCTCTGTCGTGCGATCACGATTTTGTAAGTATTCCTTATTTTACCTCAATTCTACTTCTTTCATGAGTGTAATTTTCAGGAGCATCGCAAGCAGGAATGTCAGGTTTTGGCGCATTTCGAAATAATACTGTGGCAAATATGCAAGCGCAAGAGCAACGGTCACAGGGAATGATACCGTATCAAATGGGTGTTAATTTTCTCGATTCTCAAGCTGGTAAAACAGGTTTTGGCATGCCAAGACAGGTATGAATCTATTTTGTATGCAATCAAAAATGTTTATGTTTGAAAGCACGAACGTATATCATAAACTGCTCTTCATGATTAATTTCCAACCATCTGTTTTCCAGTTCATCTTCTTATGATACTGAAAATAATAAATAACTGTTATGAACCTTTGAGGAATACTTCGTTAATGTTGTATATGACTAGTGCTTGAGTGCTTGGTTCTAACAGCAACTGTTAAAGATTTGCTTCAGGTTTATACACCATTCGTGGATGATTCACACGAAGAGTTACCATTAGATATGGCTCGACGGCCAGAGGTGCCGTTCTGGTCAGGACAGGAAACCGAATTCGCAAATCAGGTGACATTTCAATCGAATCTTCGTGTGATTCCTTTTTCATATTTCGGCTTTAAATTTTTTGTGAATTTAATTCTAAAGTCACTTTTCAAATTCATTAACTTTAAAGTGAAAAGTAAGATGAAAGCAAAAAAGAAATTCACATATTACAGACAGGAATGTCAGCCTTTGGAACTCCACGTGATGTACGCGGTGAATATGTACGACGCTTGTGGTAAAACTCGATGTTTATCATACTGTAGCTGCCTGTAAAGGATGATTCGAATAGAAGCATTTTTTCATTTGAGACAGAGAAACTCAAGTGATAGTACCATTACTCTTTTCAGAACAACAAGTTGAAACCATCCGATGCAGTCTTATCTTCTTTCATTGTAGTTTCTTTTTCTTTCTCCACTCTCTACTTAATAAAATGTTTTCTTAAACTCTTTTTTTCACTCCCATCTTAACTCTTAGCATATGTTTTGATAAGTCTTTTTAAATGAATTCAAATTTCGAAAAGTTTTACACTTTCATTTACTGCCATCTAGTGTTTTGATCGTGTGCATTATGTGCTCTAAAGCATCTGTGAATAAGTGAAAAAGAATAAATTTCGGTTGAGAGTTAAGGAAGTTTCATTTCCAAATGAGATGGTATTATTGTCAGAGTTTAAAAGGCGACAACTGTCAACTTTTTGCCAATTACCTTGGCAACCAGAAAATACGCATTTCACTTGTGAGATTTTGTATGCTGATTGATTCATCTTTCCGCAACAACAACATTCAGCTCATCACATCCTTATCCATAAAATTAAAAACAAAAAAATGAAATTATTCAACAATTTATCTTTTTTTGAAAATTCTGCCAATTTCTCACCGCTTGAAAGTTTTATTTTATTTTTAATAGTGAACAAATTATAGCATGAATAACTCGTTATCATAAAATATGCTTGAATTAAGTGTTCTGTGAAGATATTTTCATAAGAAGTTTGATAAATTTCTCTTTGGCTTCTTAACAATAAACATTGATTTGACAAAATTATGATTGCAAAAGTCACAAGCAAAGTTTATGTTGACGAATGTCTTGAAAAATCAACAGTGAGGAACCCCTCAGTATAGCATATCCAAAAATTTAGACTACCCTATAGTACCGTTGAAAAATCTGAAGGACATCGATGTAACTGATAATTAAAGAATATATTGGATAGGAGGGGATTCGAGAATATCCGGATTTGATATCAGAATTCATTCAGACAATGCTATTTAAAGAGAAGCTCTTCCCCGATGTGATGATCATTTTTCATTTGCATTTCAATGTTTATATTAAGTATATTGGCTTCTTAACGGAATGGTGATTAAGCAACTGATATCGTGAACAAGCCATAATATAGCATCTTAAGATGTGTTTAGTATCCAAAATCCCGATATTCTTGTCATGAAGTAAGCAAATTGTTTCAGATGAATTCATAAATTCTAATCATTTTATCTTTCGCTTATTTTATTTTATTTCATTTATTTTTTTTTTTGAACCATTAGAATCAAATCCCAATTATCAAGTGCGTGTTCGGCAGATCCAGTCTTATGTAATAAATCTGTTCATTTTCCGATTTTTCGGAGTTGAACTTAAACCTCATTGAATGAGTAAGTAGTTAATAAATTACAGCTGTGACTTGTAATAATTATACAATTTACCTAAACCTTTTTTTTGAAGTGTTTTAAAATAGATTTCCAACGGATCATTAATAAGCATATTTGAAAGCTGGAAGTGATGTTTAAAAATGAAATCTATAACGGTCCTCTAGATTGCTCCAGGCGACATAATTAATGCAGAGATCTGCAGCTATTATGAAGTATGCCGTGTGCCATTTGCTGTAATAACCTATTTTCAAAAAATTTTCCACGTGTTGAAGGATAGGTGTTGAAGTTTCAGTTTTATTCATAAAATTTAACTTTGAATTGAGAAGTACAATCTCCAAAACTTGAAATGGCTTTTCAATCCGAGGGAAAATCAGTGCACCGCAGTGATACTGCACGGTTGCTATTGGAAACCATCTGAAAAGCAGTCAGGTATACTGGTGACAGCGATGGAACTCAATCCTCTCCTCAGAGCTTTGCTTCACTTCAAGCATAATAATACTGAAAAAGCAATCAAAATTTGTAGTGATATATTGGAGAAGAATCCCTGTGATCAGGTAGATAATATCTCTTCATTCATTTTCTTTTTTTCCACATCTCATCACTAACGTATTTTATAACTCCTTCATTACTTCGTTGCTTCTTCCTGTTCCATTATCAATTTAAATATTTCCACTCAGTTTTCAAGAATTTCCTTCCTTTAAATATTTGAATATTATTCTTTTGATAAAAACTTAAAGTGAAGTTTTTGATTTTGTGGGACATTTTTGTCGAAAAAAGACAAACAGTGCACGGTATCAAACTGTCGAAAAATGCATTTTTTCAGGCAGCTTGGAGTCTGAAATTGAGTTGTTTGACGGAAGAGTTCTATGTTGATGAACTAGAAAATGACGAACGTGGTGTTGCGGAAATATTTTTGGATGACACCGTACTGGCATCAAAAACGAGACCTGGCACTTCTCTGTCTAGGCCAGTCACCTCAGGCCAGACATCTAGACAAGCCATTAGGTCATTTTTTCACCAATTTTTCACACATCATAAAAATTTTTTTTATAAATTTAAGAAATTTACGACGTATATAGAAATGAATAAGCTAGTTAGAATGATATTCTTATCATTGATATCTCTTTGAAGAATGATATCCCTATCACACGAATAATTTCAGAAAAATTTCACCTCTGATGGGCAAAAAAAACCTTTTGTAGACCAATTTCAAGCAATGGTAGACCTCTAAGCGGCGTTTTACGGCCTGAAACTCATGTCCGACCAGGTACTATGGAGCAAACTTTGCGCACGTCGAGAACTTCCAGAACTACTCGTGCAACTTCGTCTAGCTCTGCCAGATTTTCTCGTCTTGGTACGGTAGGTGATTATTTCAAATAAAAAATTTTGCAAATTTGCGAAAATGTTTCATGTGATTAGTCAACCAATTCATCACTTTGAAAATACTAGAAGTAATACTGGCAGTAATTTTAACTTTTAAACCATTGAATAAGCAACTGAAGTATTGAATAATTCTGTTTACCAAATAAATAAACAAACGCAATGACTGGTTCGTGTTGCGGAATTGAAGTAATGACTTACTATTTATTCTTAATGTTGCTCATAAGTTTTATATGGGGAAGATTTAAAAATCTTTTAAGTGGAAAACTAAGACTTCATAGGTTTTTGATGATTTGTTTGTTTCTATAGGCATCAATGATATCAGAACCTAATGGACCATTTGTGAATCTCTCGAGACTTAATATTGATAAATATGCTGCCGATCCACAAGTTAATCGGAATCTTTTCGAATATGTTTTCTATCATGAAGGTGATATGAAAGTGGCACATCAGGTGGGGCATGAAATCATCTTTATCAATGTCACATTTGCAAAAAAAAAAAAAAAAAAGTGGTTTTTACAGATCGCAGTTATTGCAACAAAAAGTGCCGGTAATACGGATTGGTACTGGAAGAATCAACTCGGAAAAAGTTGTTATCGACTGGGAATGTTTAACGATGCATTGAAACAGTTCCATTCTTCATTAAATAATCAGCAAATGGCAGAAACATACGCTTATTTGGCTAAAGTGTTTATTTCATGCATAAATTTTTTTACAAATTCTCATTCTGTCTCGTTTACAAATGCTAATAAAGAAATTAATGGAACAGAATTATGCATTTACGAGAAGTTTTTGTCTTATTCAACTGAATGAATTGCAATTACTATCATTTAAACATTTTTTACGCCATTTTTCTTTTTACAAATAAATATAACACACAAAAAAAAAAAAAAATAAAATATGGCGATTTCAGACATACTGTCGAATTGATCAACCATTGATGGCCATCGATCAATATAATTCTGGTTTACAAATATTCCGCAACGATATCACTTTATTAATTGGTTTAGCGCGAATTCAAGAGGTTAAATGACAAATTAATATAATTTCCACTGACTTTCTCTTATAAAAGGTCAACAAAAAAGATTTATGGTTGTCATCAAAATGTTTGTCCTAAAAGAGGACTTATGGTGATAAAATCTGCTAATTTACTTTGATCTACCCGCATGTCAAATGTTCACTGACGGTTACCAGTTGTCATTCAGCAAAATGAATTAACAAATTTTGAGAAAATTCAATTTCCAGCACCTTGGAGATATTGAAAATTGCATAAAAGCATACAAATTGGTACTAGAGCAAGACCCAACGAATGTTGAAGCAATTGCATGCATTGCAACCAATTATTTTTACAATGATCAACCGGAAATCGCTCTTCGCTACTACAGGTTGATCAGTAATCATCCGGTCAGAATCTGAATATCTGAACTGAACTGTAGGTTGTAAAGCGAAGTGTCAATAATATTGTGATAAATATCTGAACTCAGATCGACAGATCGGCAAAATGGTCGGATGGCTTTAGTTTTCTATAATACTAATTAATTAATGTGTTTTTCATGGTTTTGAAGCGATACAGGAGGGGAATCGCAAATAGTTTTGAATTAAGGCGTATCTTGCAAATGGGTGTCAACAGTGCGGAACTATTTATGAATCTTGGCCTGTGTTGCTTCTTCTGCCAACAGTTCGACCTTGCATTATCGTGTATTGAACGAGCACTGGCATCGGCTAGCGATGAGGTTATTGCTGATGTTTGGTATAATACCGGAAACGTTTTCCTAGTAAGTATCGTGTTATAAATCATATTTAAACAATAAATAAATATACAAGTCTTGACAATTAGAAGTCAAAAAACCTCAAGTGTCCCTTAAAAATTTAAGCCTTCTACAAAATCAACATTCCAGTCATCTGGCGATGTCAAAATGGCATCACGTTGTTTCCGGTTGGCGATAGCAGCAGATC